GGCCATCCCAACCAGAAATTTCTAACTTTTTTATTTTTAATTATTAATCCTCTTCTGCTGTGGTTTATGTTGTCCGTTTTTAAATTTTTTTAAATTGTTTTTTTTTTTTTTTACTTTTACTTTTTACCTCTTGTGTATATGTAGCAAATTTATAGGGAAATATGTATGTACTTTATGGAATAAATTTTAAGAACTAAAATATATTTTATTTTAAAGTAACGGACCTTTAATCTTACGCAGCTAAATTACTGATTATATATTTGCTGAGCTGACTTAAGGGTTCAGAAAATTGTATCAAGAGTTTTATTTTTTGACTCCAAAGCCTTCTTAATAAAGTCTTTTTATGACGTGCGAGCCCTTGGCGTGGTGTGGGGCCGGTGGGCGTGGAGAGGTTGGGTTGTGGGAGGGACCCTCAGACCCAGCTCCTCACCTTCCATATTCCGTATAAAGGAATTTGGGGCACCCCCATTCCAGGTTCTACTGCAAGCCAGGCTCTGCCTGTTCCAGACGAGACCTTGAGATCTGTTGGTCCTGCCAGGCCCCCTTCCCTGAGACGGGCTGGCCAACCGTGGGGTCAGTTATGGCCGCTGTGGAAGTGGCAGTGCCAGGCTGCCTTCTTGGGGCACCTTACCAGCTCTGGTGTGTGTGGGGCCCCCAGCCCCCCCTAGACAGGATCCACCTGTCACTGTGCAGATGGGGGTGCTGAGGTCTGGGAATCTGCCTCCTGGGTCCTAATACCTCCCATCCCAAAAGGATATCTGAGTGATGAGCCACAGGTGTCCCCCACTCACCTTAAGTCTAGTTGGGACCTGGCCCATTCGGCCACCAGGCACAGTTCTGGGGCCAGTTGGCATGGAGGCGAGGACTGGGGTGGCCAGGGGTGGACCGTCAGTAGTTGGGCACCGCCCAAGTTCCAAAGGAAGGAAGGAAGCTCTGGAGTGAAGGAAGGGTGGGTGGGGAACTCGGTGACGGGGAGGGGCTCTGAGGACAAGGTCTCCGCCGGCTGCTGGCCTGAGGAGTGGGCAATGAAAGGTCTGGGGGACAGCCCACTAGGCAAGCGAGAGCAGCCTGGAGGGCTTCCAAGAGGAGACAAGGGGCTTGTGACACAGGTCAAGAGGGGCAACACCAAGAGACGCTGAGAAAACCACAGGTGGACAGGGAACCCCAAGGACAGTGAACCCCGTGAGTGTCATCACATCAGACCCTCTGGCTGCGTGGAAGCACCTGGAGGGCTGAATCCTGCTCGGGGTGTCAGGGCATGGGGTGGGTATCAGGAAAAGCCACTCACGTGTGAGGGGCCAGCCCAGCCCTGTCTGGGATTTCCCACCTGTAAAACCAGGTGATCCCACGTCCACACTCCCAGCTTTGGTGAGGCTCAGGGGTCAAGCCGTAAAAATTTATTCCCCAGAACCTGTGATCAGGACCTTATTTGGAGAAAGGGTCCTTGTGGGTATGTAATTAAGGCTCTTGAGATGAGGTCATTCTGGACTGGGGTGGCCCTAAGTCCAATGACGAGAATCCTTATAAGGGGCAGAAGAGGAGAGACAGACATGCGGCGGGAGATTTCTAACTCGGACACCGTGTGAGGATGAGGACAAGGCAGAGGC